CACTATTACTTCTTGCCTCCATTACTGCAATAGCTTCTGGCCTATCCACCATTGTTCTGTGATTTATCCTAGCGAGAGAAGCCAGAGCAATCCTTTAAAAATATGCCTGACCATATTATTGTTCCACGCAAAAGTCTACAGTAGCTCCCCATTTCATTCAGCATGAAAGGCAAAGGGCTTGTAAAGTCCTCCGCCCTACATCCCCTGTTCCAACTCAGTGGTCATCCTCAGTTCCTGCTTCTCACCCTCAACTCTCTCTAACCCAGCCACACTGGCATCCTTGCTATGTCTTGAAAACTCCAGACACATACTCACCCTGTTGTTGTTCAGTCACTCAGTGGTATCTGACTCTTTGCAACCCCATGGACTACAGATTGCCAGGCCTCCCTATCTCTCACAATCTCCTGGAGTTTGCTCAAACTCATGTCCATTGAGTTGGTGATGCCATCCAATCATCTCATCCTCTGTTGTTGCCCCTTCTCCTCCTGCCTTCAGTCTTTCCCAGCATCAGGGTCTTTTCAAACGAGTTGGCTCTTCGCATCAAGTGGCCAAAGTATTGGAGTTTCAGCTTCAGCATCAGTCCTTCCAATGAATATTTAGGACTGATTCCTTTAGGATTGACTGGTTTGAGCTCCTTGCAGTCCAATGGACTCTCAAGAGCCTTCTCCAGCACCACAGTTTAAAAGTATCAGTTATTCAGTGCTCAGCTTTCTTTATGATCCAACTCTTACACCAATACATGACTACTGGAAAAACCATAGGTTTGACAAGATGGACCTTTGTTGGCAAAGTAATGTCTCTGCTTTTTAACATGCTGTCTAGGTTTGTCATAGTTTTTCTTCCAAGGAGCAAGTGTCTTTTAATTTCATGGTTGCAGTCACCATCTACAGTTATTTTGGAGGCCAAGAAAATAAAGTCTGTCACTGTTTCCATTGTTTCTCCATTTATTTGCATGAAGTAATAGGACCAGATGCCATGATCTTAGTTTTTTGAATGTTTTCTAAACATTTTTAGTTTTTTAAACGAGTTTTTTTTTCACTCTTCTCTTCCACCTTCATCAAGAGGCTCTTTAGTTCCTCTTCTCTTTCTGCCTTAAGACTAGTATCATCTGCATATCTGAAGTTATTGATAGTTCTCCCAGCAATCTTGATTCCAGCTTGTGCTTCATCCAGTCCTGCATTTCTCATGATGTATTCTACATAAAAATTAAGCAAGCAGGGTGACAGTATACAGCCTGATGTACTCTTCCCAATTTTGAACCAGTCAATTGTTCCATGTCCAGTTCTAGCTGTTGCTTCTTGACCTGTATACAGGTTTTGCAGGAGGCAGGTAAGTTGGTCAGGTATTCCTATCTTTATGCCTAACTGTTCTCTCTCCCTGAAATGTTTTTCCCTCAAAAATCCACAAGGCCGCTCTTTTACCAGTGCCCATTCTTCCTTTGAAAGTCACCTTCTCAATAAAATTTACTATACTTAACATTTCAACCCATATTCTCTCCTGTATTCTCAATCTCCTTTGTGTGTGTGCATGCTAGGTCACTTCAGTCATGTCTGACACTGTGACTCTATGGCCTGTAGTCCACGGGGCTCCTCTGTCCATGGGATTCTCTCGGCAAGAATACTGGAGTGGGTTACCATGTCCTCCTCCCGGGGATCTTCCAGACCCAGGGATCAAACCCAAGCCTCTTATGTCTCCTGCATTGGCAGGTGGGTTCTTTACCACTAGAACCACCTGGGAAGCCCCAAGGCCTTTATCCTGCTTATTTTTTAATAACATTTGTCACTTTCTAATATATGCTGCTAAGTCACGTCAGTCGTGTCTGACTGGGTGTGACCCCATAGACGGCAGCCCACCAGGCTCCTGTCCCTGGGACTCTCCAGGCAAGAACACTGGAGTGGGTTGCCATTTCCTTCTCCAATGTATGAAAGTGAAAAGTGAAAGTGAAGTCGCTCAGTTGTGTCCCACTCTTCACGACCCCATGGACTGTAGCCTACCACGCTCCTCCGTCCATGGGATTTCCCAGGCAAGAGTACTGGAGTGGGTTGCCATTGCCTTCTCCTTTTTAATATATAGAATTTACTTATTTAGTTTACATTTATCAATTATTGTCTGTCTCTCCCCCACACACATTAGAATGTAAGTTCCATAAGGCAGTAAACTTTTTATGTTTTACTTATTGATGTATCTCAAGTATCTATTAATAGAATGATGCCTAGTACATAGCAGTCACTCAAAAGATATCTGTTAACTGAAAAAATGGTTCACAGCCTTGTCAAACCTAATGCACCCTTTAACAAGAAATATGGGTTAATATCGTCTAACATTGTGAAGGGGAAGTCATAAGCTAACTACACATGTAGTTTTTTAAAAGTTCAGATACTGAAAGGAAAATGTAAACGTGTGATTCAATATGGAACTGCTCAGGTATCCCTAAGCTAAAAGAACAAATGAAGCAGTCAGATGCTTGCATCCATCTGTAGAATCACCATGAAATGGATAGCACAAAATGAACTGTATTGCTGATTCTAATTCCAGGAATGGCACTGTCATTTCACTATGTGAAAAACAGTTTATGTTTATATATAAAATAGATTCTAGACTCACATAAATATAAACAGGTTTTTCATCTACACGAATGAACAGTGGGGCAGTCAATTCTCACAGGATGTGGGACAGTTCTTTGCTGGGCAGGACTATCCTGGGCATTGCAAGATATCCAGTGTCATTTTCCCAAACAACTACAATCCAGTAGGTCCCTACCTACAATCACTGGAACAAGCAAAATCACTCTGCTGAATTTCCAAACCAAATCCTGGAGGTACTTTCATCCCAAGAGATCTTGATCTGCAAGTCCAGTGGCCTTTGACAAGCTCCTCCACACTTCTCTTTCCTGCATCTTTCCCTTTCCCCTCCCCTAGTTCCTGCCTGGTGTCATAGTCTCATTCCTCCCCTCCCCCTCCCCCTCCCCCCCTCTGCTGCCCTTTTCCTCTCCACATGATCTTCAACTAAGTCTCAGAGTTCTGTTTCTACACATGATGTCCAAAGTCACGCATCCAACTGCCACTTTGTCATTGAGACACAGAAAGCCTCCAGTTATACGTGTCCAAAATCAGTCATTTTCTTCCAAAACCTGTTATTCCATCAGTTGTACCTACTTATGTGAATGACATCATCCACTTAATCTAGAAAGGACAACCATCTTTGTCTCCTACTCCTCCTCATTCCTGAATCCAGTTGATTGTACCATTCTGTCCATTTGCCCCCTGAGGTGTCTCATATTTGCTTCCTTTTTTATCACTAGTTCAAACCCTCATCACCTATAACTTAGAATATTGTCACAGCCTCCTAGCTAGTACTTCTGTGCCAATTAATCTTTTGATACAAACACAAAAGGATTTTCTCCAAACAATATTAATAATTAACGATTAGTAATTAATTAATCTATTAATAATATTATTTATACTTAGCTTTAGGAACTTCCCTGGTGGCTCAGTGGTAAAGAATTAGCCTGCAATGCAGGAGATGTGGGTCAGGAAGATTCCCTGGAGTAGGAAATGGCAACCCACTCCAGTATTCTTGCCTGGAAAGTCCCATGGACAGAGGAGACTGACCGGCTACAGTCCATGGGGACAGAAGGAGTTGGACACGACCGAGCAACTAAGCACCCACACAGACACATAGTACCTGGTATATCATAAGCATTCAATTATAATGTTTAATTGAGTGTTCATTATATGCCAGGCATTATACTAAATGCTTCTTACTTCTTTTAATCTGCACAGCCACATGACAAGATAGGAATGATTCATTATTCATAGTAAGAATTGTTATTATTTAAAATTTAAAGATGAAAAAGAGGCTTGGGGAGGTTAAACAACTCACCTAAGGTCACAGAACTAGCCCCAAAGTGACAACAGCAAGATTCTAGGTCTATCTGGCTTCTAAAAAATCCCTTATTTTGCTTTTTTTTTCTTTTCATTTTAATTTTTTGGATACAACTTTCTCATATGGTCTCTAACCTAATCGTTACCTCCTTCAGTCTTTGCATCTGTGCTACTTGCCTTTTCCTCCCCCCTCCATTCTTCCAGTCCGTAGGTTCTTTTTTTGGTTTCACGTATTTCCATATTTAGTAAAGATTTATTATCAGCTCTTTCAAGGAAGTCCTTCACAGCAGGCTCCCCTGTTTCACTGCGCCCACCACATCCGACACAGCCCTCCTCACGCTCTCTTCCCAGCTGCTAAGAAAAGGGGTGGAGGAAAAGAAGAATTGTGTTGGGGGACCTGGTCGGGGGGGCGCGGGTGAGGGCGAAGGGTGGGAGGGGGAGGACGAAAGGTGCTGGGACCCCCAACCTCCGGAAGTGCGAATACAAAAAAACTCCTTCCATTTTTTAGTTTTCCTCCGAGTATCTGTGTTGCTTTCTGATTCTAATAAAATGAACTAAGTCAGTAAAAAGTGCTTTGTAAACTGTAAAGTGCTGTTCAAACGGAATGGGCAATTATTCACTCTCCCTTTGCATGCCCAGGGCTTCAGCTGAATGAGCCACACAATAGGTGTTCCAAGCAGTGGATGCCACTGTGTGTTCGGGCGAAAGGAGTAACGCTTTAATATGGACTTGGCCCGAGGAAATCTCTGCTTGTCATAACTGCCAAAACGCAGCTCAAAACTTCATCAGAGTTGCCACGTGCGAATAAGACAGGAAGAAAAAGCTATTAGCCTGAAAACTCCCTGTTTAAAAGCCTCTCTCGGAGTGTTTCACACCTCCAGCTCCCAGGAAGTTTTAAGTTCTTGCAAATGACCTCCCTTTACCTTCCTAGCGTCCCGGCCCCAACCCTTCCCTCCCGGGCCTCTCGGCTTCCTCGCCGACCCAGCCCTCGGACCCTCGCCCCGAGGGCGGAGACTACAAGTCCCGGCGTGCCCCGCGCGCCCGGCCGGGTGCACTGGGGCTGGGCGCGTGGCGGCCGGCGAGCTCTGCACCGGGGAAAGCCTCCCGGCGCTGGCCATGCGGGGAGGTAAGTGATCGCTCGTGCTACGAGGGCACTGGGAACGCGCTCGTCCTACCCACCCCCTGTCCAGGATGGAAGGAAACGAAGAAAGCCACGAGAAAAACTGCCCTGCCCTCCCTCGTCTCTGCTGTGCGCCGGTGCTCCTGCAGATTGTTGTGCCCCCGAGTGTGTTATCTGTCACCCCGGAGTGGAAGTGGGGGCAGAAGCGTGCCCGGCCCCGTGGAGCGCTGCGGCTCCCCGGGGGTTACAGGGCGGAGCTAGCAGGAGGGGACCAGGAGATGGCAAGGCTCGGCTGGGCGCTTGCCGAGCGCCACACCTCCCTACTCCCCTTCCAAAGATGAGTTCCCCGGGGGAGCCCCCAGTCCCAAAGACAAACGATTTCTTCTTGAAAATCTTAGCCAGAAACTTTCCCCTCTATCACTAGTGCCACAAGCGAGTCGTTTGGCTATCGGACGTGACCGCTGATTAAAGAGTCTCTCTGGCATCCCCTCTCCTGCCCTACGTTCTGCCCCCAGCGCCCCCTCTCCAGGCCCTCTTCAGTTTTCCCTAGAGACCCTCTAGGGCCCTGCTGAGCTCGGCCCTGCTCTTCGGCGACTTCTTGAGAGACTTCTGCAGCGCTGTGTACCCAGGTCTGCGCTTGGAGATTCTGTCTGGAGCCGCCTGCGGGCGGATACCTGGAGGCAAGGCAGGGCGGATGGTTCCCCGGGAGGGTGCTTGCTCACTGGGGGATGAGAGATAAATAAAAGAAGCCTATTGAGGCACCAGTTTCCCATCCTTCCTGACCCATCTCCTTTCCTATCTGAGCCCATTTCCAAGTGTCCCCGAAAGTACTGCTCCAGAATCTCAGCTCGAGGACCTCTGAAGTTACTTTAGCACATCCCATGATAGCCTGGATCAGAGGGTCTTGTTGGTTTGTATCTCTCTCTCTCACTTCTCTTACAGACACAAACACAATGCATACGGCACATTGTGCAAACACACGAATACCACGACACTACGCACAAACACACACATATACCACAGGTACAACACCCACACATATTACACAGCATACACTCATCACACATACTGCATTTATGCTATGCCCTACACACATACCAGGAACCACACTACACACAAATACACTTAATTTTTATTAGCAGAGAAGAGGGTTAATATCACTTTGTTGGAGAGAGTGAGGAGGAAGTGGTTGAGTACTAGTATAGATGCTTATACCCACAAATGTCAGTTTACTCCAAAATTAGAAATTAGCTGATGAATGAAACCTCCTGTAGTCAGGATATGTGGCTCATTTTTTATAAAATGGGATTGATTTTTCACAACACCTTCTGAAACCCACACCCTTGTCTAACAGGCAAATTTTGATCACAACAGGCAAGACAGTAAGGGATGCCCTCTTCTATACATAGGAAGAAATTCTTGGAGAAACAGAATCCTTTCTCCTGTGAGGGTGTCTGAGAGTCAGTGTAACTACACTTTGCCTCCCTTCTTTCAAGAGTGGTGGGCTGAACCTAATATTGATCTAAGCAGTGCCATGACAGTGCTGTCAGGGTACTCTCTTCTCTATCCCTTGCCCCCAGGACTCACAGCCCAGACCCCTTCCATTTGAATTTAGTTGGAAAACAGTTTAGACACCTCAGATCAAGTTCAAAAGCATTATGGAATCTGTTGGTTAAAGAGTCCTCTGTCTACAGAAGAGTTCATCATTTTGATCATTGGTGATAAAACAAACCAAGAAGAAAACCACTTGTTTGAGCTGTGCTCAAAAAATAGTACTCAAAAATAAAAGAATATTTAGAAGTCTTCCCTAAGTTATTATCATTTGCTCTTTCAAGGGGGCAATGGCAAAGATGGGCAGAGAGAGCATTTGAAATTTTTCTCAGTGATAATCTTTCAAGAAGTTGAAGATTTCTAATACCATTCCTGCAATAAGTAAAGGGAAGAAAATTGACTTTGAAATTCAGATTGCAAATTTAGATCAAAGTTGCTGATTTTCTAGTACCCTTAAAAATTGCTAAAGAAAAGAGAGACCAGTAGCTTTCTCCTCAATTCTGCCCAGTCTATACAGTATTACAGCAGGAGATGACTTTTTCTAGGATCCTTCTGCCCTACCTTGAGAGGTTTTGTTGACATCTTGACCTAAAAGTGTGCAAGTAGTGATTGTTTATTTCAATGACAATCATTTATGTTTCTAGTTATATACAGTATGTTTGTGGAATGGGAATGTTTCCCTTGAGCAGTAGTTCCCAGTCAAGCAAGAGAACTGTGAGATTGATCAGGGTAACTTAATCAAAAGATCATGCCTGGCCTTTATTCTACCTTCCCCTTTCCCGAACTGGAACTTAGGATGGTTGGCACAAATCTTCTTTTTCATATGTAATTAATATAGTAGCAGGTGCTCATAGAAAAGAAATGTTGAATTTGTTGAATTACACTTTTTACGCAACTGGGGAGATCTGGTAAAATGAAACATCCCAGACTAATTGTTTTTGTTTCATAGAATAAAGTTTGTTTTATTTTGAGTTTTTGGCTGACTTCATCTGGTAGGATGAATGCCAAAATTAAAGAATGTGGGCGTTCTCAGGCGATCTGGTCATCTCCTTTGCATCCTCTCTGAAATATGTTACTTCCTGCATAATGAAGTAAAAGGATTTTCTGCTGGGCAGTGCTTTCCTTATTCTCACAAAGAGCTTGAAAGCCAGCCCTGGGAACTTTGTCAGCAAAAGAGTAACACAGGACTGCAGCTTCTGGGTGTTCACTGAATATAGCCCCTGAGCACTGGACTTTCTCTTATTTTTTTCTCCCATAGGGAAGAAAAAACAAATAGTTTGATACATGGCATTCCTGCTCAGAACAGCAAAGACATATGATGCAGAAACAAGGAAGGGGAGGGAGAAAATAATAGCCTCTTGATACAGTTTGTTTTCCTTTGATCAAGACAGGTGCAGGGAGAATTCTGCAGCTTGGGGACGCCTGGTTCATTCACTTCCACTAATTGTGCTGAAGGTAGTTAGCAAAAGTGAAGAGGCACACTGTAGCTTTAAAAAGTCAGCCATGAACCAGAAGGCAGTTGGTGCAGCTTGTGTGTGATTCCTAACGTCATGTTGGCTGAGAGCCAGCCTGGTTTTATTTCACTGTGTCAAATTGTACCTCCTTATTGAATGCCTTTGCCAGCCTACTTTGTGAAAGAAAACATTGGGGTTTCTTTGGCTGTTCTTGATAAGCCTATAAAAAATGATATGTTTTAGTTGCTTCTAGGTAGGTTTTCTTTTTACTCTTCCACAAGAAAATAATAATAATAAGACAATGTAGTGTGGTGTTGCAGAGTATCATTGTGAGTGTTTTGTTTTGTTTTGTTTCTGAGATGCTTAGAAAATGGTGAATGTGTAACAGTTTCCAACTGAAGTGAAATCATTCTTTTGGCATGGAGCAAGCAGCACTATCTTCTGTCTACTCTGTAACGGTGTGTGGATGTATGTTAATATCTAGATGTATATTAAATGTTGGATTTCTCTATGAATGATCTAAGTGGTGTAGTGACTGGAAGTTTGTGTGTGTGTGTGTGTGTGTGCATATGTGTGTGTGTGTATCAGCAGTGAAGATTATCCCACACTTACAGTATTATTTGTTAATCATCTACTTCTGTAACAGTGATAAAATCTTGTGAATATACTAAATGATGCACTTGTCATGTCAGAGTAATCCCTAGGGAAGAAGTGCCGAAGTATAAAGTGATTTGAGAGGAAATGTATTTAATTTATGGCTTCAGCTATAGAAGAACAAGCACGTTTCAGAACTAGTTTTTTTTTTTTTCCCAGCAGTTTTGTTCGTAGCTTTTTTCATCTTGCTAATTGCATATTAATTGTAGAGGGATTTTATTTTTTCTGTGTTATTCCTACTAAACAAAAAGACAAAGTGATAGATGCTACTATATCTCCTTGAATGTTTTGGTGATTTTTACATAAATCTAATGAGCTGCCTACCCTCTCTTACACACACACACGCACACACACACACACACACACACACCCCAGCAGCACCTTTCTGTGTGAAGGGCTATCTGACATTTTCGTGAGCTTCCAGCTTTACCAGACCATGGCCATCTCACAGACAGGTTTTTAAGATTTTCATTGAGAATGTATGAGGTAGGGGAATACTTGCTGACAAAAGCTTTAAGTGATCTTTTGCATCGCAGTGAAAAAATAGAGGAGAAGTGGGAGTGGACAGAAAAAAAAAAAAAACCACACACAAATATAGTAAGAAAAAAAGAAATCACAGCCCCCGAGGTGGAAAGGGGAGGAAAAGGGGGATTGTTTTTGTCGACTTTGACTCATTTATGAGTTTCAGTGTCTTAAGTGAGAGCTTGGCACTGGGAGAAGCTGTGCCAGTTCACACAGCACTTGTTTTGAACAAGGATTCAATTTCATTTGCAAATGCTTATTGTCGAAGCAGGGAGTGCCAGCACAGATGAAAGCACCCCAGTCTGTCTCCTCCAGTTCTTTAGGCTTAATCACATCTCTCCAATCGCTGAGGGAACTGGAGATTTAAGCAAACATATACGTGAATTGGTGTGAGGCTGTAAAAGGGACCATTATGTTTCCGATTCAGAATATATATTCTTCTCTCCCTTTCAAAGAATTAAACACGAGCTTTTCTCCCTTATTGATTAGTTGCTGAAGCAAAGGAGCCCTGCAGCCTCCCCATGCTATCTGTTGACATGGAAAACAAGGAAAATGGCTCTGTCGGTGTAAAAAAGTAAGTGAAACTGGCTTATGAGTTCTGCTTCTGCAAACAACAGAGGGACTTGGGTTCTATTTTTATACTTCTTGCTTATCTACTACAATACACTGTTGGGGGTTGTCTTGGGTGATTGGTCTACACTGGTGATCAGCTTCCCCTCTGCCCCCAGCCCCAGTTGCCTTTTTCTGTATTCCATTTCTAAGAGATGACTCAGACATCAAAGTGCATAAAGGGTTAGTGTATCAGGCTTTAAAACAGGGAAGGTTGCAGATTCCAGCCCTGAATTCTGTATATTGAACAAAAACACAGAACAAACAGAGACTCTGCCTCCCAAGTCCATAGTGAGGAGGGTGTGGGGAGGGGTGCAGGGTGTGTGTGTGAGGGGGAAAAGAAAAGAGAGATTGAATCTTGAATAAAACCACCCATCTCAAAAATGAAAGCTATAGGAAGGGAAGGAAAAAACTGTCAGTAAGAATACTAAGTTTAACAGTTTCTCTGTCCTCACTTTATGAACTGTTCCTTGAATGTGAAACATTTCTGCATATACCAAAGTCTCTTTTTCCCTCTGTTCTTACAGTTGAAACTTCTGATTATATTTATTATGAGTTATATGCTTGATACTTTTAAATAGGAAAATTTAGTTGCATTATGTAGTGTATTCTGAAACATGCTATGTATTTCAGGCATAAAATATCTGTAAGTATATGAAAAAAATGTTTATTCTAGGAGTTATATTTTGGCTCTAACCACATTGCTTACAAGGAAGAAGTATGCTCCAAGACAGTGTTGTCTGTTTCATTTTTCCCCTGTCATTTTAGCTTAAAATCTCCTTCAACTTGAGCTTTGCAAGAAGCTAATGTAATCTGTAGAAGCTGTGATAACTAAATGAAAAAATAGTATGCTATATATGTTTATGAATAGAAGGTGCCTTTTATATTAAAGTTACATTAAACTTAATAAAAATCTGCTTTAAAAAATTCTCCTATAATTTATATATCAATGCCATGTTTCCATGCTTGTTCCCATGTTTGAAGCTTGGGGAAGTTAGATGGAGGAGGAATGAAAGAAATAGATGCTTTTTTTAATGTGTCAGTTAGACCAACTGCTTCCAGTAGTACCCTGAGCAGTGATGAAAATGTCCTACACAGGTACTATCCACCATGGTAGCCACGAGCTGCATGTGGCAATTAAAAACTTGAAATGTGACTAATGTAACTGATGAACTGAACTTTTAATTTTATTCAATTTAAATCAATTTTAAAAGTTAACAGCTTCATTGAAATATGATTGCCATATAATAAACTGTATATGTTTAAGTATAAAATCTGATAAGCTCTGACATTTGTATACACCCATGAAACCATTACCAAAATTAAGATAACAAACATATCCATCATCCCCACAGGTTCCTCATAAACCTTTATAATCTCTCCTTCCTGCCCTTCTCTGCCCTCATATTCCCCAGGCAACACTGGTAGGCTCTCACCGAAGATTAGTTTATTTTTCCTAGATTTTTATATAAATGGAATTATTCAAAATGTACTTTTTTAGGGGGAGGGAAGGGGTCTGGTTTCTTTCTCCCAGAATAATTAATTTAGGATTCATTTGTGTTATAATATATATCAATAGTTCATTGATTTTTATTACTAAGCAATGTTTTACTGTATGGATATACAATACTTTGTTCATTGTTTGTCCACCCAGTTGTTCATAGGCATTTAGGTTGTTCCCATTTATTAGGGATTACAACTAAACTGCCTTGGTCACTTGTGTACAGGTGTGTGTGTGTGAACATGTACATTTTTCTTGGATAAGTATCTAGGAGTGAAGTGACTGGGCCGTGTGGTAGGTGTATGCTAAGCTCTGTAAGAAATTGCCAAACTATTCTCTGAACTAGTTGTGCCATTTTACATTCCCACCAGCGGTGCGTGAGCACTCCAATTGTTCTGTGTCCTCAGGAATTTGGTGTGATCAGTCTTCTTCATTCCATTAGGTGTGTTTTGCTTTGCTTTTTAATCTGAAGATCGCTTTGTATAGTACAACCATTTTAACAACATTAATTCTTCCAATCCAAGAGCATGGTATATCTTTCCATTACTTTGAATCGTTTTCAGTTTCCTTTATCAATGTTTTACAGCTCTCTTCTTGGTTATTAGGTGTGGTTTTAATTTTCATTTCTGTAATGACCAAGGATGTTGAGTTTTTTTTTTTATGTGCTTGTTTTATTTATAAATCTTCTTAAGTATTGTTCAGATCTTTTGCCCATCTTTTTATTGGGCTCGTTTTTTAATATGTTATTGTGTAGAACTTTTACGTATTCAGGATACAAGTCCTTTGTTATATACATGATTTGAAAATATTTTCTTGTTGTATGTAATTTGTTTTTTCATTCTCTCTACAGTGCCTTTCAAAGTGCAGAAGTTTTAAATTTTGATGAAGTCCAGTTTATAAATTTTTTATTTTATGGATAGTGCTTTTAGTGTCACTTATCTAAGGAATATTTGCCTTGCTCAAGGTCACAAAGATTTTCTCTTATGTTTTCTTAGATTTGGGACTATAATTTTTGAGTTAATTTTTGTATATGGTGTGGAATAAGGATTAAAATCTTACTGTTGATAGTGGTTTCGGTGGTTGTTTTTTTTGCCTTTGGATATCCAATTGTTCCAGCACCATTTATTGAACTATCTCTGCAACTTTGTTGAAAAAATAACTGATCCTATATCTATAGATCTAGTTCTGGACTCTATTGTATTCTGTTGATATTTTGTATATATTTATGCCAATACAGCACTGTTTGGATACCTTTATGATAAATCTTGAAGTCAGGTAGTATTATCCATTCAACTTTGATCTTTTTGGAACTTGTTTTGGCACTCTTAGGTCCTTTGCTTTTCCATATAAATCAGCTTGTAAATTTATACCAAAAAAATGCCTTCTGGTCATTTGACTGGCATTGCATAGAATTATAGATCAATTTAAGGAGAATCAACATCTTAACAGTATTGTGTCTTCCAACTCATTAACACAGCATTTCTATCCATTACTTCAGTTCAGTTCAGTTCAGTTGCTCAGTCGTGTCCGACTCTTTGCGACCCCATGAATCGCAGCACGCCAGGCCCTCTGTCCATCACCAACTCCCGGAGTTTACTCAAACTCATGCCCATCGAGTCGGTGATGCCTTCCAGCCATCTCATCCTCTGTCATCCCCTTCTCTTCCTGCCCCCAACCCCTCCCAGCATCATGGTCTTTTCCAATGAGTCAACTCTTCGCATGAGGTGGCCAAAGTATTGGAGTTTCAGCTTCAGCGTCAGTCCTTCCAATGAACACCCAGGACTGATCTCCTTCAGGATGGACTGGTTGGATCTCTTTGCAGTCCAAGAGACTCTCAAGAGTCTTCTCCAACACCACAGTTCAAAAGCATCAATTTTTCGGAACTCAGCTTTCTTCACAGTCCAACTCTCACATCCATACATGACCACTGGAAAAACCATACCCTTGACCAGATGGACCTTTGTTGGCAAAGTAATGTCTCTGCTCTTTAATATGCTATCTAGGTCGGTCATAACTTTCCTTCCAAGAAGTAAGTGTCTTTTAATTTCATGGCTGCAGTCACCATCTGCAATGATTTTGGAGCCCAAGAAAATAAAGTCTGACACTGTTTCCACTGTCTCCCCATCTATTTCCCATGAGGTGATGGGAGCAGATGCCATGATCTTAGTTTTCTGAATGTTGAGCTTTAAGCCAACTTTTTCACTCTCCTCTTTCACTTTCATCAAGAGGCTCTTTAGTTCTTCTTCACTTTCTGCCATAAGGGTAGTGCCATCTGCATATCTGAGGTTATTGATATTTCTCCCTGAAATCTTGATTCCAGCTTATGCTTCTTCCAGCCCAGCGTTTCTCATGATGTACTCTGCATATGAGTTAAATAAGCAGGGTGACAATATACAGCCTTGATGTACTCCTTTTCCTATTTGGAAACAGTCTGTTGTTCCATGTCCAGTTCTAACTGTTGCTTCCTGACCTGCATAAAAGTTTCTCAAGAGGCAGGTCAGGCGGTCTGGTATTCCCATCTCTTTCAGAATTTTCCACAGTTTGTTGTGATCCACACAGTCGAAGGCTTTGGCATAGTCAATAAAGCAGAAATAGATGTTTTTCTGGAACTCTCTTGCTTTCTTGATGATCCAGCGGATGTTGACAATTTGATCTCTGGTTCCTCTGCCTTTTCTAAAACCAGCTTGAACATCTAGAAGTTCACGGTTCACGTATTGCTGAAGCCTAGCTCGGAGAATTTTGAGCAATGCTTCACTAGCATGGGAGATGAGTGCAATTGTGCAGTAGTTTGAGCATTCTTTGGGGTTGCCTTTCTTAGGGATTGGAATGAAAACTGACCCTTTCCAGGCCTGTGGCCACTGCTGAGTTTTCCAAATTTGCTGGCATATTGAGTGCAGCACTTTCATAGCATCATCTTTTAGGATTTGAAATAGCTCAACTGGAATTCCATCACATCCACTAGCTTTGTTCGTAGTGATGCTTTCTAAGGCCCACTTGACTTCACTTTCCAGGATGTCTGGCTCTTGGTCAGTGATCACACCATTGTGATTATCTGAGTCATGAAGATCTTTTTTGTACAGTTCTTCTGTGTATTCTTGCCACCTCTTCTTAGTATCTTCTGCTTCTGTTAGGTCCATAACATTTCTGTCCTTTATCAAACCCATCTTAGCATGAAATGTTCCCTTGATATCTCTAATTTTCTTGAAGAGATCTCTAGTCTTTCCCATTCTGTTGTTTTCCTCTATTTCTTTGCATTGATCGCTGAGGAATGCTTTCTTATCTCTCCTTGCTATTCTTTGGGACTCTGCATTCAAATGGGAATATCTTTCCTTTTCTTCTTTGCTTTTCACTTCCCTTCTTTTCACAGCTATTTGTAAGGCCTCCTCCGACAACCATTTTGCCTTTTTGCATTTCTTTTCCGGCAGAATCAAACCAGGGATCTAAGGATGATGGAAGCTTAATCA